GCTGAACCGTTCTGGGGAAGCGTTCGCCCCGAGGCACGGTGCGACCCGGCAGCAGAGGAGCAGCAGGGCAACAGGGCAGAACATGATGGAGTCACGCTGACGGAGGTGTGTGTGAGTGTGTGTGTGTGTGTCCGTGTCAAACAGCTGATGTTGCTGTAGGCAAATCCAGAGCTAAGCAGCCACAGAGTGTGGCCGACCCCTCCCTGTCCTGCCCCCTGACCCCTGGACATTTACATGTGTGGTTTGACATGAAACAACCTGAGGTCACGGTTCAGACGACGGCCTTCAATAATGTCACGACATCCAACGATACGCTGGTTTTCAGGGATTTCATCAGGAATGTGACTCAACATTTAGTGAAACAGACGTGGCTGATGATGATGTCACTGGGGGGACGATGGGTGACAGACTGACCCTAACCCTTCCACTGAGTGGTCCAAAGGAGAGAAAACATCCAGTAGGTGGCAGTGCTGTGATGATGCCAGAGGTCAGAGGTCAGAGGGTTGGTGTGAGGGACATTTGAACTGATTTATAATGTGCCAGCCACAGCGACTCCAGCGTCGAGGAGACCAACATCGTTTGTTAACACGACAGATTCAAGAACAACACAACGCTTCTCAATATCAACAAATGATCTTTATTTACATCATTTTCACCCAAAATAATACATATTAAGTATCGGTAATCCTCACGGTACCAGACGGGAGCTCCGATGGCTACACAGCTTCGTTTGAAAAGAAAAATCTAGGATTGTTTTTATGTAAAGAAGAACAACAATTATGTCTGATTTTATACGTTTAAAGAGAACAAAAAAAACGTGAAGACACCCGACTGAAGTGTGTGTTCACGCCCGAGGGTGTAGACACAGCAGGACTCACTCCCTTGACTTATCTTTCCAGTGTTGCTCCACCTGTGTTCCACTAAAAAACCCTCCCCTAAGGAAACAAGTACTAATTCAAGGTTCCTGAAGAGGCCGACTCAGGAGGATAGTGAAGGATGGAAAAAGAAAGAAATATATCGCAAATATATATCTGTGTATAGATAAATATACTTTACTATAATATTACTATAATATTACTATATATAATATTACTTAAATATACTTTAAAAAACTGTATGTTTGTTTTTCATTCTTTTTGAGAAATATATCGCAAATATATATCTATGTATAGATAAATATACTTTTAAAAAAACACTGTATGTTTGTTTTTCATTCTTTTTGTCACATTTGTGTTTATTATGCATGTGGTTCTTAGATATCTGGAGGAATTTGCTTATGGTCTGTGCTCCGGTGAGTTTTTACCGTCTCACCCCTTGTTGTTGTCGTTGTTGTTGTTGTCGTTCAAACATCTGGCAGTGTTTAAATGTTTCTGACTGATTGGTGTGATAAGTTTGTGTTTAACCAGTTGGTGGCGATGTTTACGCACAAGTTCCATCTGTAACTAGAGTAATTTTAAGTGTTTAAATGTTTCTGACTGATTGGTGTGATAAGTTTGTGTTTAACCAGTTGGTGGCGATGTTTACGCACAAGTTCCATCTGTAACTAGAGTAATTTTACCTGATAAGGAACGATCAGTGATCACTTTAAAAGTCAAGGGAGTTATGAAGAGCTGACTTTATTGTTTACCCTGACTCCAACCTGTCTTCAGTCCAGTGGTGATGATGTCATCAGAGAGCAGTGTCTCTTTAACTGCACACTCTAATATTTGTTTTCAGGTTGTGGGTTTGCCTCAGGGCTAGGTTTCCATGTTCATTTGCAAACATTACTTTTCATAGCAACTAGAAAATTGTCACATTTCCTCCCAAGGTATTTGTATAAACCCGCAGCAGGGCTCATCTTTTCATCCTGACGTTCTCGTCCTCGTACACGTGCAGACAGACTGTGCTTTAGTTTCTTATCTGTCACATCATTTGAATGAAAGCCAACATGTAAAGTTTCACTGTACCGTCACAGGATCTGGCAGAGGTTCCTGAAAATACTTCTGATGATATTAAGACTCATTTTAATAGGTTAGTTATGTTAAGTTATGTTAAGTTAGCTCATTTAATAGGTTAATGAGGAGAAATCCACGGCGCGGTGACGATGTTTCTGATTGGCCTCACAGGAGAAAAATACTGCATTTCACTCAAAACGTCTTCTTCTACTTCTAGAAAAAGAAGAGGAAGATTCACGTTGTGATTGGGCCCAGACTGATGTCAGAGCTTATCACCTGAGGGCAGGTGAATGGAGGCCCTCTGTTTTCTATCTCAGTCATCTTGACGTAAGAAAACCACGTTGTTCTTCACTTCAGCCCGTCCCATCGTCACTTCCTTTGTTAGCCAACGTGCACAGGCGTCCAACAACACCGCTGAGGCTCGGTGCTGCTGTCTGGATCTGATGTGTCAAACTGGTGGATTATGGCGCAGAGCACCCACTGTTATTTGGAGCTGTAGACCTGCAAGAATGACAAGACCAAAACTGTATACATAAAAAATCTAAAAACAAGATTTGACCTCAAATAATTTATAACAAAGACGTTTTTTTGCAGCTATTGCAACATGGAAAAGTCAAAACCCTGCAACCGTCCAGTGAATCCGTTTTTATAGCTTTTGTCTTTTACAATCAATCAATTCAATTGCCCCACCGGTAGGGTCGCCCTCCCGTAAAGTAATCTTGATCATAATTTAGTAACGGCAATTAAATGTTGCGTTGCTTATTGACCCAATTTGAGACGCGATTCGTTCCGTATTTCCATTAATGTCCAACAAACAAACACGTCTGTCACACACTCGTCAACAGCAGATTTAACACCAATGAAAACTAAGGCCGTGACGTCACAGCTGCCCTCCGAGACGACAGGAACCGAGTGCAGTTGCTTCAGGATACGGATGATTTTCTCGGCTCTCGCCAAACGAACTCCGGTCCCTGTAGTACATATGCCCAGCCTGCACATGGCGCTGTGTCAACTACGCTGTAACATACTAACACCGGAATATTGGTAGCGGAAGACAGGAAACCCATAAAACGCACGTGCCATGTGACGTCAGACGCTGCAGTCCGCCGGTCCCTTTAAAAGCCACAGGTGTCGCGGATCGTTCTTATTTGGCGGCGGGACCTGGTCGATGAACATCTCGGACCGAACGGTGAGAAACGTTTAGATTTTTGTTCCCTGCGTTTGGCGTTTCGACCATGTGTTTTAGTTACGTAGCTAAACGGCTTAGACTGAGAGAAAACGGTTTTTAATTAAGTTACTTTGCTGAAACTTCAGACCCGCGTCAGGATGTGTTTATTCATTAAATCATATCTGACCGTTTCATCACAGCTTCAGTTTGTTCTGTTGTCCGTTTCTAAAACAAACGTTGTCTTGAACTCGTCATCAACAGTGTTTGAACCAGATGTGGATTCTTCACACGGAGACCAGGTTGACGTTGTCCAGGGTCGGAGTACGCTCCTGAAACTGAAGGACAAGGTGAGTGTCACCCTCAGGCCTGGGTTACCAACCTTTTTATTTAATTAGAAAGTAATGATTTGACAAATGTAGCAATCACTCCAGTACTCCCCTTGACTCGTCTCCTCTTGGCTTTTTTTTCCCCCAGAATGTTCATCCTGAAGATCTTCAACATGGTAGGGAACGTCGTTTATTTCTAATTCTTTGAGGCCGCCGTGCCTCTGCCGTCCTCTACCAGGCCGCCGTGCCTCCCCTGTCCTCTCCGAGCCCCCCGCCACCGCCGTCCCTCTACCAGGCCGCCGTGCCTGCCGTCCTCTACCAGGCCGCCGTGCCTCTGCCGTCCTCTACCAGGCCGCCGTGCCTGCCGTCCTCTACCAGGCCGCCGTGCCTCTGCCGTCCTCTACCAGGCCGCCGTGCCTGCCGTCCTCTACCAGGCCGCCGTGCCTCTGCCGTCCTCTACCAGGCCGCCGTGCCTGCCGTCCTCTACCAGGCCGCCGTGCCTCTGCCGTCCTCTACCAGGCCGCCGTGCCTGCCGTCCTCTACCAGGCCGCCGTGCCTCTGCCGTCCTCTACCAGGCCGCCGTGCCTGCCGTCCTCTACCAGGCCGCCGTGCCTCTGCCGTCCTCTACCAGGCCGCCGTGCCTGCCGTCCTCTACCAGGCCGCCGTGCCTCTGCCGTCCTCTACCAGGCCGCCGTGCCTGCCGTCCTCTACCAGGCCGCCGTGCCTCTGCCGTCCTCTACCAGGCCGCCGTGCCTGCCGTCCTCTACCAGGCCGCCGTGCCTGCCGTCCTCTACCAGGCCGCCGTGCCTGCCGTCCTCTACCAGGCCGCCGTGCCTGCCGTCCTCTACCAGGCCGCCGTGCCTGCCGTCCTCTACCAGGCCGCCGTGCCTGCCGTCCTCTACCAGGCCGCCGTGCCTGCCGTCCTCTACCAGGCCGCCGTGCCTCTGCCGTCCTCTACCAGGCCGCCGTGCCTGCCGTCCTCTACCAGGCCGCCGTGCCTCTGCCGTCCTCTACCAGGCCGCCGTGCCTGCCGTCCTCTACCAGGCCGCCGTGCCTTGCATGTGTTGGACGTAGCAGTACAAACAGCACGTCGTCCTAGCAGCTATGCTAACCTGCCACCTGTTCTTTGTATCCCAATAATTAGACCCTTAGCAACATTCTTACTTATGCACTTATAATTTTGCGGTTGTTTCCAAAATTTCAACTTTGCCGTCGTTTCCCCACTTTTGGACGTCGCCGTCGTTTCCCCACTTTTGGACGTCGCCGTCGTTTCCTTGACTCTTGATGTTGCTGTGAATTTCTGGCTCTCCAGTTGCTGAGAAGAGTGATTTTTCAGCGTCGACCAACATGGACGTCCAGAACTCCAAATCATGTGAATCTGCTTCTCCTAGTACCTTTGTAAATGTATACTTGTAAATGTATACTTGTATATGTACTTGTCAGATTGTACTTGTAAATGTATACTTGTAAATGTACTTCGTACTTTTACTTGTCAGATTGTACTTGTAAATGTATACTTGTACAGGGGGCTTTGTACTTGTAAATGTATACTTGTATATGTACTTGTCAGATTGTACTTGTAAATGTATACTTGTACAGGGGGGGGAGACGGGGGGGGTTTTTTTTTTTTTTTTTGTCTTCTAACTTGTAAATGTATACTTTGTACTTGTCAGATTATACTTGTAAATGTACTTGACTTTGTATCTGTGCTGTACTCTTGTGAACGTACTTGACTGTTCCACACGGGTCGGTGTGTATTCATGTGACTCCCGTTCTATGGACCAGACCTGAAGACGGTGGATCCTGTACCTGAGGTGAGCAGAACTGAGGTTCATGTGACCGTGGAGGACATGGGTAAGAACTGAAGGACTTTGAAGGTTTTTATGTCCTTGTTTTATGTCCTCACAGCTTTAAGTCCTTGGTTCTTTGTGTTGCTAACTTGTTAGCTTGGATCCAGCAGACCTGAGACTACGACCCTGGAGAAGCTCCATCCTGGTCTGGTTCAGTCGGACTGTGGTCGTCCTCCCTGTCCTCCCTGAGGTTTGTGTTAAATTATCATCTCTGTTACGATCAGTTTGTCATGTAGAAAACTGACTGGACTTTTTCATCGTCAGGTTCTGGACCCAAGGACCCAGCCCCCCCCCCCCCCCCCCCCCAGGGGGGGGAGACGGGGGGGGTTTTTTTTTTTTTTTTTGTCTTCTTAAGTTGACCACCATGACTTACCATGTATGTTCTAAGATCTGGTCTTTGGTCACTGAAGACTTCAACTACAGACTTGACCCCAGGTTTAGAACCGTTTTAGTTTGTCATCAGTCAGAGTTCAATGGTCTGGATGTCCCGCCCCCACCTCTGTCCCCCACCTCTGTCCCCCACCACTGTCTTCCTTTCTTCTTGGTGCTTTAAAATCCAGTCCTGAATTCTTACTGACTGTTGTGTCATGGAGGCGGTCTCCAGAACCAGACCTGGATCCATCTGGTTCTGGGACTTTGTCTGTCCATGGTACAACGTTATCCTCCAAAAATGTAAACACTGAATGTGAAGTCTTTTAGAAGAGACTGACTGAAGATCTGGTTTCAAGTCTGTAGTTGGTTCATCAGTGCCCTAGTGGCCACATCCAGAACTACACATGAGAACCATGGTGATTCAGGATGGTTGCCTTAGTTTTTTGTTTTTTTGTATTATTTATTTGTTTTTAACCAAACCACCTGTTTGACTGTAATATGTATCTAGTTTTCAGCTCAGGTTAACCATCACTAACTATAATCACTGTTGGTTTGTTTTGCCATAGTTTACTGTAGAGACATATTATGGTCTGTCAGTCAGCTGTCTGACATGAATGTACTCTACAGATGTTGAAGTTAAAATAAAACCTTTTCTCCAACAAGACCTTCCTCAGACCTCGTCTCTTTCTGATTGGTCACACATTCAGATGGTGGTTTAAAAAAAAACCCCTTTCATTTGGCTTTAAATCTGTTTTTGTTTTGTTTTTTCTGTCTTTTCAGTCACGTTGGAAATTGTTCTGTCCAGGACAACAGAAAAACAGCAGACATGTTGGTAACTTCAAACCTTTAGCCTCCAGGAGAAAGGTCAGAGTCGGGGCAAATGTTTTTAAAGTTCCTCTAACGTTACTGAGAAATCCTAAATTTTCTGACACTTATTTTAATTACCTTCTCAGGGGTTCAGTGCTAATGAAGCTAGGTTAGCTAACGTTATTTACTGCCTTAATGTCTGTTCACTGGAAACACTGGTTCTAAAGTTTTTACCCTGGTGTAAATCATACCTCAGCCACTAGATGGCAGTGGTGTGAACTTTATCTCTAGTTGCTGAAGCTGGGATTAATATAACAAACCAACAGAAGGACAGCGCTTTTAAAAGGTGAAAACTGTCAGTGAAATGTTGTAAGTTTGGCTCCAGCCGGAGTCTTCGTGCTGCTGCGTCAGCACGAGGTGCAAACGACGACAACTGGACGATGGACGTGTGCAGCTGTTGAAGTGGGCCGGATGTTCTGTGCTTCAGAACCTCTGTCTCCGTGTGCCTCAGATCGGTCGGACCTGCAGAGGAGGAATGTTATTGCACAACACGTCTCGCTCACATCGACAATCGTGTACAGGACGTGCTTTACGTTAAGGGAACGCCGTGCACTTTCTGATGTGAAGCAATCGTTGCACAGTTGACTACCTCGGTGCCAGTACCTCAGGTTCTGTTGGACAAACATCTGCCTGTTTCCTGCGCTGGTCACAGTTGTGATTGTTACAAAACCACGTTCTGTGTCATAGCCCCCCCCCGTCCCCCTCCTGTCTCAGCTCAGCCTGTCTCTCTAATCTCTGCTGCCTGTGAAACACTGGGCCTGTTGTTGACATGTGGACCTCATACCCCACGGGGTGGACCCCCCCCCCGTCATGGACGTCAGCCATCGGGGGCCAGGCAGAACACTGTGGGGGGGGTGTTTACGGTGTCATGATGTAACACCACCTGGACCTGCTGAAGGACAGACTTATGGCCCACACAGGACACGGAGAAGGATGTTTGTTTGTTTATTTATTAGGAATGTTGACATTTTGTTCAGATCAGCAACACTGAGATCAGATTTGGTTTCTTTCTGGTTTAACCATAAACCCAAAAGGTCAGGAGTTCAAAGTCAAATGTATCTGTTCTGCAGACATGTAGGAGCCGCAGCCTCACATTAAAGGGTTAAATAAAAGATTGATCCTCCCCCCTCCCTCCCCCTCCCTCCCCCTCCAGCAGTAAAACTTGTTCTTCTTCGTGTCTTTGGCCTGTGTTTGTGTGTGTGTGTGTGTGTGTCACCAGTGTGTTGTAACCTGACTGTGTGCACACATCCACATGTGCACAGACATAAACAATGAGCTGTATTATCTTGCACCGTCACCTCTGCACTTCGTCTAATTCCCAGTTAATTATCGCGGCTCACACATCAGACCATGTTTGGACCAATCACGCGTTTCTTTCCTCAGCCGTTCCCCCGTGGCTCCGATACGTTACCGTACACAAAAACTCGCGTTCAACAAACACTGCATACAAATCAACCAGATTCGTGGAACTGTGCAATCGGTGCCCAAGGACTGGAACCTTCATGTTTGCACAATGGACTGAGTAACCTGCAGGTCAGGGAAAGAATTACACCGTATTTACAGTTCAAATCCAGTTCAAGCTGCAGCTCTGAGACCAACGCCCCGGTGGATCGCAGCCCCACAGCTGCCCATGATCTGGAACCAGCCGAGACTGAAGACCCTGACCCTGAGAACCGTACATACAACAACCTGGACCCGGGGTTCTGGTCGGGTTCTTCCAACTGGAGCAGAGTCGTAGAATTCAACTCTTCGTGGACCTCATGTAACCTGAGGACCGTAGGACCAGCTCTGATCTGAGGACTGGAACCGATGTTCATCAAACTTTAACCCCCCCCCCCCCCCCCGGTGTAGCCGGTCCACCATAGCCAAATGAAATAAAGCCCGTGAAGGCCATTACAGAAGGAATGTTTTCCTCTCAGTGTAAAGCAGCAGTCCCAAACCCCTGGGCCGAGGACCGGGGGCGGTCCGTGGGTCAGTTGGTACCGGACCGCACACAAACACGCAAAGCTTATTCCGACATTTCACCCAGTGTTTCCCAAAGTTTTTTCCGGGGACACATACTTCGTCACAAACCTTCGCGACCGAAGTCGATAGAAATTATTCGTAAACTCCTGGGAAACATGATGTGAGAGGACCCAAAAAGAATCTCCTACGACCCACCTGAGGGTCACGACCCAGTCTTTGGGAAACAATGATTTTACCAGTCCGTTGTGCAATAAAGGTTGGGGACCGCTGATTAAAGGACACGTGTCAAACTTGCGGCCGTGGGAAAATGAGTTCGCTGACAGCACTTGACGGCGGTCGGTCGGTCGGTCGGTCGGTCGGTCGGTCGCCCGCCTCCACGTTACTAAGCTTTGCTCACAGAATACTAATGAGAAGTTTCTGGATGGCTGCGAGACATTTTCCTTGGGTCAGTGATGAGGTGCAGATAAAGGTTTCCAGTCGTTTGTGAACTCCTTATCGCTGCTGCAGGTCGAGCTGAAAAAAGAGAAGAATCAGAACGAACTTTCATACCAACGTCAACTCCCGACTGTAAGAAACAGGCCGGGTCCTGGATTAAAGTTATTTGAATAATTTATATGATTTGAAATACTTGAAAACACAGATGTACTTCCTGAAAACTTCAAAAACAGATGTTTTTCTACAGATTCAATCAAACCAGCAAAAATAAACTCTGTTAAAGGTTTATTTTCAGTTTTTTTTTTGGTGTCAGAGAAGTTGAATGAAGACATTTGGAAGACACCGATGTTCTGATGAGACGTCAGATGTTCCTGTCCAGAAGAAGAGTTCCGACCAATCATCAGACCCAGAAATGATAAATGAATAAAGAAAGTGAAGCTGTCTGAAGTGACTCTTGATCCAGTGTTAATGTTGGAGTTAATATAAGGTTTTGACCTTTTCAAGTAGCCAAGTCAAACACGTCTGAAGGACTAAATTCTTCATGCTCGACTTTAGCAGATGAACTTTTCTCCGGTGCTGACAGGACCATAACTTTTTAAAAGATACCAGAACCTTTAATTCTGACGGACATGAATGTTAATTTTATCTGGAGCCATAAACATTTTTATAGACGTCTACGTCCCGTTTAAAAGTCAACATTTAAGCGCTGGTGCAGATGACTCCAGATCCCTTTATCTGACCCGTGGGAGTCCAATGGGAAACCCATGTGGAGAGATCCTGGAACCTCAGGCCCACGTGTCAGACTGGTTTAGTTCTGAAGGACTTTATTACTGCAGGAGGAAACGCTGAGCGGCACAGAGCGGCGAGGGTAGAATACTTCACCTGAAACACTCAGGGAAACATGGCCGCCGTTCGTAGGCCGCAGCCCAATTCTTCCTCTGTCCCGCTGACGCCGTCAGGTAACGTCTTCATGTCAACATGCGACACTTGTCTGATCAGAGCTCCATCATCTGTGGATGTCTGGCATTGAACTGACAACCTGCTGACATGTTGGCTGTGACCTCCAGAGTCAGAGTTGTGACGTTTCCACCTTCCTGACTTCAACTTTACTGCGCTTGAGTCACCAAGATGACTCACTTTGAGCTCCTGCGACACGGGCTTTGCGTCACTCTGGTGACCTTACAGGAAAATCCACATTGCATTACTCCAGGCAGGTGAGTGAGCAATGCTAGTCATCACCATTATCATGCACCAGTAACAGCCTTCCTGGTGACCGGGGGAGGAGGGGGGGGGGGGGGGGGGGGCGTGTGTCAGCAGCCCAGGCACAGAGCCTGCAGCCCGGGCACAGCACAGCAGTGCAGCAGGCTGGGACTC